GATGTTCATTCTTACACGGTCTAAAGCACTCAGTCTCTATTAGATGTCCAGAAAAGAAATTTGCACATTGCACATGCAGCAAAAATAGACAAATTGTTTGCCACTTGCTTAAACATGCAAAATAATGATATTATGCAACAATGGTGTAGTCTTAAAGGGGAGGTACAATGCTGTGTCATACACTCAGAGTTGTTTACACTGTTAAAGAGTTGGATTCTCATGCTAAGCATGGACTGAGAGCAGAGCAAGATCGCGCCCATCAACGTGCTTCATCCGGCGGCTGCGCTGCACAGGACTTGCTCGGGAAGAATATCTCCAATCCAAAGAATTGTGTTTTTGGTTGTAAGGGAAAGATAACTTTGTTCAGCTTCCTAAAGAACCCAGCGTTATGTAAACAGTGGATACAGTTTGTTTTTCGGGGGCAGCAACGGAGATTCACAAGTGTGTTTGTTGACGAACGTTTTATAAACAAGACCTAGTTCGACACTGGATTTGCACTGGATTTGCACATCGTTTGATACTGAAAGATGGAGTGGTCCCAGCTATAAAAGATCCCGGTCATGATTCAGAACTGCAGACGGTAAGTGAAACGGCATCAAATGTCTGTTTTGTTGGCATTCGGCGCTCAAGTGCTCGTCACTCTTTAGCTCCGCCCACGGCGCGCCTCCAGGAGCTCGGCTTTTTCCGGAGAGAATCGTAAAGCTGTATCTTTCTTTTATAAATATGATAAAACTAAAGACTTTTTGGAGATATGAAGGATGCAGTACTACTCTATAGGCACTCAAGATTAACATGAGATTGGGTGAAACTGTGTGTGTTATGCCTCCTTTAAAAATGTTTGTTTACATTGCATAATGTGTACAGTTTCATCTACTGTACTGTTCATCTACTTTATACAAATAGGTGTCAGTATACAGTAATGGTCACAGTATGCAGTGAACAGTTCAGACAATTGTAGAGATTTGAGGTGAGAGTGACTTCAGATGGGGCGCTGCAGTCCAAGGTATAAATTATTTATTTCTTTATTTCTTTTTATAGAAAATATTTCTCAATATGGGTCACTTTTTCATAACTCCTCACAAAATGAGCATAACAGTCTATCTATATGTGGGTTCAACTGTGGATGTGACACATAAATGACAAAGAAAGCCAAAATATTAAATGGCATGGGTGAGTATGTTGTAGAGGGGGGTCAAAATGGCAATTCTCACCTGAGATTTAGAGCCAAAATACAGGGTGAAAGAAAAAGATTGCAGCATTGTTATGTTATTTTTACACTGAGATTGATAGATCTGTTAAAGAGGTCATATAATGCTACATGCACTTTTACAAGTTGTTTGAACTGAAATGTGTGTAGGCAGTGTGTGTGCACCACCACCCTATAATGATAAAAATCCACCCAGTGTTTTTTTTTTTAATCTGGTTAAATGTTTTCCCCTTTCTCAAATCGAGCCGATCTCAGATGCCTGTCTGTGTGACGTCACAAGTTGACTTCAGCAATCCTTTTTGCATTATATTCTAATGGTGACACTTTTTGCACGTTTCCACCAAAGCTTGCATTCCTTTTAAATTCTGGTTCTTGACAAGCTTTTCTTTTGGTATCCTTATTTTTCAAGGTTCATTTCCAGAGATACTGGGATATCAGTATGGCTCTAAGAGTAAAATTGTTACATTTCACACATTTTCAGTCAAAACCCAAATGTGGGCCACTTTGCATACAGACAGATGAGACTTTTTCTTTAAAAGAGGAATGTCCGAAGAACAAAAAATGTTGAAACTGGAAATGTATCTTGTTTCCCTCTGTAAAAACAATTGCATCTAACTTTACTGTCTGAGTGCCAAGAATGTTCTTTTTCTATAGTTTGTGTGCTTGTAACTTGTAAAGACATCTTAATATCCCTTTAGATTCTGGCTCTTAAGAAACTTCATTTTTAAGGCCATATATGATTCAATCCCAGAGAAATGGGAACCTCAGTGTTGCTCCATGCAAGTAGTTGAATCCATTTTCAGTGGTCGAGCACTGTAGGTCACTTTGCATACAGCTGATATGTATTTAACAGGGAATGTCTGAAGAACAAATGTTGAAACTAGAAACCTGTATGTATTTATTCACATAAAAGCAATACGATCTGTATCTTGATTTTTGAGAGTCATTGTTATTAATAAGGAAACGGCCATTTAGCTGGTGCAATAACTTCATTTCACTTTAGAATTTCAGAAAAAGTACATCTATTCAAAATCTTACATTTTAATTATTTACGTTTTATTTAAACTGCTCACATATTCAATCATTCATCTGTTGCAAATGCTAAAATGAATCACAAACATCAGTAACCCATATTATGTATCATAATATTTATTGTTGGGCAAAATCTTTAAGTAAGACTGTAGTGAACATCTGTAATATTGTAAACCTTGAAAGGTTTATTAGCGTTGACAGACGTTGGTCTAAATGATGACCATGTTATTGCAGAGGTCCGAATGGCAGCATTTAACTTTCATGGCGGTGTTACTCTGGAGAATAAGACACTCTGTCATACTGCTGCATCTCCGAAAGCCCATGACTAGAAGAAACAGAGAAATCAAAACATATTTGACATTTATGCATGTCATGATTTTATCTAATCACAAATAGAGCATTTACAATGTAAAGAATCACATTACAGCTGCTTCAGTTTATTAGCGTCCATGTCAGTGTTGTTTTAGCATCACTGAGATAAAATTATCGTTTTTATTAATAGTTTGAATTGGTTTTTATATTTTTATATACAAATATTTGTATTTTTTATATTTGTATGTTTCAATTTTTGCGGTGATTTTTGAATTAAATGTGATTGTGAATTAAATTTGAAATTTTGAGGTTAACATTTTCGAATAAAGTTATGCGTTTGTATTTTTCTACAGTGGGAAGCTGACAGGAAGGTTAAACTCACAGGGAGGGAAGTTGAATCTGGCCGCGATACAAGCATCTTTTCCAAAGCCACAGGTCTCTTGAGTTGATGTGCAGCGTGTTCCACCCTGAGGAACGCAGTGGTTGCACTTCAGTGCAGATCCTGCAACACACAGTGCATGCATCATCACCAAATCAGAGTTTGCACAATCAGAGTCATATATCACATGCATATATTAACTAGGTTGCCAAGGAAACATTTCTGAATTTTCATTTAGTTTAACTTGATGTACAGAAATAACTGGAATAAAAATGTATAGACTTTACAAATTACAAACTAATAAAAATGACAAAACACACAACAGATTTATTAAACATTAAATAAAATTCAAATGAAAACAGAAGAAAATACATAATTATATTAAATAACTATAATAGTCTCTCAATGTTACTAAAATAACACTCTGAATCACGTTAAGGTTTAACCTTTTAAAGTAGCATCTCTAAACTCACCGTAGTTCAACGTCAGAACAAGAACAAGGACCACCAGCAGTGTCTTCATTATTCTATTGATTAGAGCTGAAAATATTAATAATAATTAATAATCATCAATAACAATGGGAGAAGGCAGAACAATTAATGTAATTTGTAAACAAGCTAATCTGTCAATAATTAGTGCATGTCTGTTACTTCACGAAGCGATCAAGCTTAAATTTTCACCAGGCAAATGATAAAACCGGCAAAAAATCCCAGAAAGAAAAAACAAAGTCAAACTGTAATTATTAAAAAATGTAGACCTTAAATCTGTGCAGTTTAGTGTTGAACTGCTCTATAAGGCTAATAAAACTAGAAGCACAGAAACTGCAAATATCAAGTAGCATGGATATGTATTGCTCATTAAGATAATAAATGATATTCGCTTAAATTCTGAATCTGGCAAAATATCAGTGCTGGTACTACTAGATCTCAGTGCTGCGTTTGACACTGTCGATCATAACATACTACTAGAGAGACTGGAAAACTGGGTCGGGCTTTCTGGGATGGTAATCAAATGGTTCAGGTCATACTTAGAAGGGAGAGGTTATTATGTGAGTATAGGAGAGCACAAGTCTAAGTGGACGTCCATGACATGCAGAGTCCCACAAGGCTCAATTCTTGCACCGCTCTTGTTTAGCCTGTATATGCTCCCACTAAGTCAAATAATGAGAAAGAACCAAATCGCCTATCACAGCTATGCAGACGTTACCGAAATGTGCTATACAAATAAACTTGCCTTGCCTTGCCTATTGTTTTAATAACTTACCTCACAAGTAATGTAGGATTGAGCGTATTAAAAGTTCATAAGCACTTGTGTGTGTATCTTATATACTTGTCATGTACTCAGGAGTGAATCATTTCCAGTAATCCAGGAATTCCCAAAGGGTTTGAAACCTGTTCATTGTGTTAAAATGAGGCCACAACTGTGTTTGGTCATTGTTTACTCATGCATTGGCTTCAGATCATCAGTACTGATCGTATCATGTGCTTGAGCAAGATCCTGTTCTGTCCTGCTCTACTACAATAAACCACTTGTTTTTAATATGGCACAAGTCCATTACGGAAGTTTTCTTAAATATCATCAACATTTGGGTCTCAAACTAAACGATTATGGTTGTGTTTTCCTCTTTCTCACCAATGCATTTACATACATACAAGTTCAGTGTTGTTTTTTTTAACACTTTAGGTTCAGTAAAGATCCCTCTTCTTTTTGTAAATTTACAGGTGAAACAATTTTCACTAAGAAAAATAATAGTACATTTCACAAATAAATACCCTTACCAAAAAGTAGTATACTTCAAGTTTATTTTATTAAGTATACTTAAGTAAAGTTCAAGTATACTTTATGTAGCAAGTGTACAAATATCAGTGTACTAGTAGTATACTTGTAAGTGTACTATTTCAATACTCTTTGGGACTAAATTGGCCCACTTTCTAATATATAAAAGTATACTTTTAAGTATAACAGTAGTAAACTTTAAGTACACAACTAGTTTACAACAATATTTTTAGCCTGTACTGCAACTATACTAAAAGTGAACTTATATTTTATATATTCAGCCAAAAAAAAAAAACATTCATAAACATGCATGTGTAACTTGATTCATGTGTAATGTATGTTATTGAAAGCTGTTTTATGAGTCATGCTGATTTATGGCAGCGGCAGATCAGTCAAAGGTGTTGCAGAAATCCTTCTGACAGCACTTGATGTTGATGTAAGCGTTCTGTTTCACCATCTCACAGCCTGACATGGACATGCACTTCTGGTAATGACCGTCTGTTTCAAACAAAACCATAAGACATTTCATTGTTTAACAAATTGTTAATGTCATCAACAGCAGCAGCTCTTAGCTACTGTCTGAATGGTCACAGTGGGCTTCATCACTCACATGGACTTCTGCGGAACTTGGCAGCAGCACATGCGTCTTTGTCTGGTGGGCAGGTTACGGCGGTGATCTCGCAGGCCCCTCCTGCTTTTGCTGGGACGCAGTGCAGGCAGTCCAGGGCTGAGCCTTAAACACACGGGACAATATTTAAATCCACACTTCCTGTTTGTGCAGATACACTCTTACATGTACATAAACCTTGTATGTATCTAAAAGCCTTTGACCTTGTGTTTTGGACAGTTTTTGCTGCTCTCATGTTGACATTTCAGACATTTCATGCATCATGAATAATCTGGAAGTCCGTTTTATGACAAGAAATCAATAATCACACATTGATTTTGACTTCACACTATTGCATGGATTTTGACTTATGATGTTCAGCTCACAAGAATTTAGCTGTTTTTCAAATTTTATATTTACTTGACATTTATAGTGATACAAAGAAGATAATCAGTACAATATTTTAAATTTTGAATTATAATATTTCTTTGTTTAAAATTGTTTAAAATTGTTCAAAATTTCAGAATTTTAATTTCTACCAGAAATGCAAAACCTGCCCTCATGCTACATGCAATAGTTCAACAATTTTTCTTTTCTGTTCCTGTATCCAATCATATTTCAGCACACAAAGCATATGCATCATGTTATATTCAGTGCATAATAGATGATCTCAATACTCACCAATTTTGACATCAAAGAATGTGAATAGTTTTTATATATTTATTTGAAATATATATAAAGACGATGTACAGTACAGGGTTCTTAACTTTACATAGGTTTTTTTAAATATATTTTTTTTTTAAAAATTTTAAATCCTAAAACTTAATTTACTGTATTTCCAGACTTTTGGACCCCACTGGTTTTTAATCTAATAGATTATTCGTTCATTCTATGCACTAACATGCACTAATAACTGCAATACATATCAATCTGTAATTTGCTAATTTTAATGATTCTGCATGTAACGGTTACCTGCAATAGTCTTCTATTGCATTTTATTGATAGTATATTACATATTTTTTTAAATCATTTATATTTTAAAGGGACATGAGTTAACCAAAAATTTTAATTATGTCAACATTTATTTACCCTCAAGTTCCAAGCCTGTATGAGTTTCTTTCATCTGCACTAAAGAAGATATTTTGAAGAATGTTGGTAACCAAACAGTTGAAGGTAGCCATTGTTTTTTTCCATACTATGGAAGTCAATGGTTACTGTCAACCGTTTGGTTACCCACATTCTTCAAAATATCTATCTTTAACTATCCTTTTAATGCACACGTACAGAAAGCATGATTTCAATGCATCATAGTTCCAAAGTACGTTTTATGACAGGAAATCCATAATCACACTCACCGCCTGTCACGACCAGCATGAGAACAACAGCCAATACGAGGAACTTCATCATTCTGGGAAACAAACCGAAGAAGAGAAGCGACTGTTGAATGTTTACACTTATTTCATTTATTATCTTAGAAAAAGTAGGAATATAACTCTAAACAGTATTAAAACACATACTAGACAACAACCAACCAAAAGCATCATAAATGTACTAAAAACAAACCATTACTGTAATTAGTCTGAAGCAGCTCTCTACTCAAAGGTCATAATATTTCCCAGAGTAGATCAATAAAGTTTTATCTTGTGCTTTATGATGCATCCCTGATGTATATGTTTTAATGTACTGTAAAAATAATTTTCATAAATAAAACTGTGTGTAAAGTGTAACTCACCTTTGTACTGTGTTGGACTGAGTTAAACTGTTCTTCTTCTGTCTGTCTGTATGTCTATATGTCTATATGAAACCTCACCTTTATCCTACAGTTTCTTATCAGCTCCCTCCTCTCTCTCTTTGTCTTTCTGCAAACAAGCCAAGCCCTCTCATATGCAGCACAGTGAAATCAATGGTCTTGACACAGGAGAATTAAAAATATTTCTCAATTTTATGTGTGTAACTTTGTGTGTTTGCAGCTCCTCTGTTTGCAGGGTGTTGTGCTGTGTTGTAATTGCATGTATGCAACTTCCTAATAACTTCCTGTAATTGCATGTATGCACATAGATAGATAGATAGATAGATAGATAGATAGACAGACAGACAGACAGACAGACAGACAGACAGACAGACAGACAGACAGACAGACAGACAGACAGACAGACAGACAGACAGACAGACAGACAGACAGACAGACAGACAGACAGACAGATAGATAGATAGATAGACAGACAGACAGACAGACAGACAGACAGACAGACTGATGATAGATAGACAGAGACAGACAGACAGACAGACAGACTGATGATAGACAGACAGACAGACAGACAGATAGATAGATAGATAGATAGATAGATAGATTGTGGTACGTCTCTTGTGGTCTAGTTCTGGTCATGTTTATGTTCTTCAGCTCTGTTGTGTTTTGACTGTGTGCCAGCAGCAGCAGTCGTTCTCACACCCAAACACTGACTGTAAATCAGAGCTTTAACACAATCGATTGTGCCATTGTGCATCTCGCCCTCCTGAACTCCGATATCAGCAGAGCAATGTAAGAGAAACTGTCCATGATGCAGAAACCACTAAGCTCTCCATTGTGCCTTTTTTGTTGGCAAAACCTCGCGATAACACCTCAGAGCGTATAAGCCACATATATCAGACAGTCCAGATTATTCCCTCTGGTTGCTCTCTCTCTTTTTCTCACTCTCACTCCACTGGATTGTTGCTCAGGATCCAGGCAGGGAACGATGTCACAATATTCAGGGAAGGTGAGTAATACATTTCAGGGTATATTGTCTGTCGTTTGCTGACAAAGTTTCATGTATATACTGTACTTTTGTAATATGTAATAGATATTTGCATACTTATACAATCATACATAATTATATATTTTTTGCATAATTTGCAATTTGCACAACTGTAGTTTTGCATGTACACTGCATCTCATGCACCCAAATTAATGCACTCTTAAATGAATGCATATATTTACATTATCTCAGTGCACACATTCGGTGCTGCAGAACTCAACAATAACAATAACAATAAGTACACATTTTTACCTGTTCTGTCAATATTTTCACTGGCCTCTACTAAAAAATAATAATAATAACAAATAAAATAAAATATATAAATTAAAATAAAATAAAGTAAAATAATAAATGGCTATTTTTATGAAGACATATGGATCTAATTTCTTTACAAAAAAAATACAACAATATAAGTTATATAAATCAATAACCCCAATTTTGCTTGGTGACTGATGCTTCCTGATTATCACAAACTATTTTTGCAATTTCAACTAAGCCTCAGCTTTGTAGCCTGCTAGATAACTTTACCATGGTGGGGGGGGGGAAAGCAGAATTTGACAACAAAAATGTTGAATAGGCAAACTTCAATGCATAAAAATGCATGTGCATAACCAACAAATGAAAGACTTTACATTTTATGAAACATAATTTATTGTTGAGCCTGGCGATGTCAACTTGCAGCTGTTTATTTTTGGACTCATGTTTCCAAATTTCCTCTTAGGAATCAAACTGTGATCTTGATTATGATCTTGTGTTTACCTTTCAAATGTGACCAAATGAAGATAATATTTGACTGACAGTTTTTACTGTGGCAAACTGCCCTATTTTTCTCTAATGTGTTTGAAAGTTCTTCTTCTTTTTTTAAGATTGGCATTTCATAACTAATTATTCAGAAGTAAAACTATAAGATGATTAATGCAGTTGCCCAAACAAGCTTTTCTAACTTACATTTGCACCATTTGTTCTGCTGGTTTAATGCCAAGATGGAGTAAGAAACTTCACAAGATGGAAAGTGTTCTCAGCGTGACGCTGATTAATGAATCTCACACTGTGAACTCATGTAGTTTCACTTTCACAGAGTCTGTTACACCACCGGTGACTGTAGTTGAATCAAAAACCTCAATAAATCAAGAGTTTTCCCTTTGATCGTCACTAAATCAAGCCTCCGTCTTCTTCCAGATAGTGTTCTATGAGGGGAAGTGCTTCACAGGCCAGAGGCTGGAGGTGTTTGGAGACTGTGAAAACTTCCAGGACCGTGGTTTCATGAACAGGGTGAACTCTATCCGCATGGAGAGCGGGGCCTGGGTGTGTTTCGACCATCCCGATTTCAAGGGACAGCAGTACATTATGGAAAAAGGAGAGTATCCCGATTTCCAACGTTGGAATGCCTACAATGATCATATGGGCTCCAGCAAGCCAATCAAAATGGTGAGGATGAAAACACTTTATGAAAAGATATGTCTTTTCATGCCATGCTCACACACACATACGCACATACTCTCTCACACACACACACACACACACACACACACACACACATACGCACACACTCACACGCACGACATGATCAAATCATGCCAACTTAAATTAAAATGTGAAATGTGAAATTTTGAAGTGGAAAGACTGCAATAGTTTTTTTCCCCTGTAAAACATACTCCAATAATCTTTGTTTTATTTACAACTCTAAAAAAATCCGAGTTGCAACATGCCTCATTTTCATTTACTGTACTGTCGTTTACTGTAGTTTAACTCAACCTAAAACTGAAATAAAAATGTAAAAATAAATAGAATTTTAAAATACATAAAAAGTAAAAACATATATTTAACAAATAATAAAAATTATAAAAAGCACATTAAAATGACTAGAACTAACTAAAACTAAAATAAAAACAACATAACAATAAAAACGAATTCAAAATATTAATAAAAACTATAAAAGTATCTCAATACTAAAATAACATTGTGCATTATACTAATCACTGTACTCCACTCTATTCAAAGAGTATTCAAAGAAAATCTGCATTCTGCAAACAATATATGCTATTCTAGTATGCAAGTATTTCATGCTGTCAAGGGTCAAACTTTTGACCTCTGAGATTTTCTGTCTTGACTGTATGATTTTTTTCAAATGTGACACTCAATGTGCTTGTCTGTGTCTGTCAGCACGGGGAGCACTACAGGATGGAGCTTTTTGAGGGCCAAAACTTCACCGGTCAGTGTGTTGAACTGTGTGACGACTGTGCCTTCCTTCAGAGCTCCGGATTCAGCAAGAACGGCCTCAACTCCATTAAAGTCTATGGAGACGGAGCGTAAGTTCTGCATGGCCAAACATCAAACAATGTTTTATTAGGCAATCAAAGACTGAAAGCGTAAAATATTCCAAGGTCCCATAGAGCTTGAATAATTAAAAAAAAAATGCTCAGAATAAGATGATGTTTGTAGATCGTTTAAAGCAATTAATTATGTTTTAATTAAAGCTCAGTATCTTTTTAATCAGTATGAATCTTCATTGCTAAATTATTTGCACCAAGTTACAAGTATGCGATATTAAAAGTATGCATTTAAAGGAGACATATTATGCCCCTTTTTACAATATGTAATATAAGTCTCTGGTGTCCCCAGAATGTGTCTGTGAAGTTTCAGCTCAAAATACTCTACAGATCATTTATTATATCATTTTGAAAATGCCTATTTTGAGTGGAAGTAGAATCATAATGCATTTTGCATTTATTGAGTGAAAAATTGCAGCCTAAAGTAATGCAATTTAAATGATGCGCAAATGCAACAGCGGCCATCCATTTTTAATGTCATTCACACAGGAGAGCCAATTGCAAATAAAATAAATAATAAATCAAATGTTTCTTTCTCTCCACCGGTTTAGTTGGGTCATGTACGAGGAGCCGAACTATCGTGGCCGCATGTACGTTGTGGAAAGAGGAAACTACTGCTCATTTATGGATTGGCAAGCTGAGGATCCCAACATCCAGTCTATCTGCAGGGTGGTTAAATATTTCTAAACTTTTACATCCCAAAACAGCCTCACTCTCAAAGGAAAATCAATATTTCAAAGTATACTTACCCCAAATGATAAACCAAATGAACCTGAACTTTGATTTATATTACTGAATCACACAGCTATGTGCTTTTTATCTTTATGGAATTTCAATGATGAATCAGTTATTTGAAAAAAAAATGCAATTAGCACAGAAATATTCTTGTATGTTTTATTTTGTATTTGTACTGAGGCAATGAGTTGAAATAAAAGTGAATTGTGAAATAGTTGCTATTCTCTCTCTCTCTCTCTCTCTCTCTCTCAATTCAATTCAATATGTGCTTTATTGGCATGACGGCATGACAATTGTTACAATGTATTGCCAAAATATAGTGTTTACATTGAATCTAGAGCAGATATGTATAAAAAAAAATTTAACATAATAATTAAATAAATGAATAAATAAATAAATACATGCATGTATATATAATTAAATAAAGTAGAACTTCTCTCACTCTCACTCTCTCTTTCAGATTTCCAAACATTCACTGACATGTTATAAAAAAAACACTTTTTTTTTTTTCAAAGAAAGCTTTCCCAGTTACCTCTAAACATATATAACCAAATATACCTTAAACACATGCTTTAATATTTTTGATACACACACTTCTCTGCAAAAACACATATGCATTGCAACACATATGCAGAAATTTTAGAAATGTTAAGTGTTTTTAATAATTCATACTTGCTGAAGAGTATGAATTATCCACCCTAATTATCCACATGTAAAAACCACCCTAATAACTGCATAGCAACACACTAAAAGCTACGCAGAACACCACCCACATTTTGCCAGTTCTGTTATAATTAAAATCCATTCACAAGGTAATGTGACAAACTTTTGATATCGCAAATATCTCTTTCTTCCTACATTTAGAAATGTATTGCAAAAACATTGCATATGCATATAGGATATTATGAATTTGTCACTTGAAGTGTTGTTATTGGTAACTAAATCTAAAACTAAAACTATTAAAAATCATTTTCGT